AGCTAGCCACCTCTGCTTATGTCATTGCCTTGGCGTTCCAGGCACTACTTTTTTTCGGTCTTCTCGTTCAAGTATTAGTCAAGTATTGGGTCGGCCCATAAGTAATGGCGTTTTTTCCCCACTCAAAATATCGCGCTGAAGAAGAAAAGTTTTGCCATGAGTTTCATACCATTTTGCAGAGAATTCCTTGCCCTACACGATAGTCTTCTTAGTTTTCTTCAAGTTTCTCTTTCCACTAATATTTAAGTGCTCAAACTGGAGTGTCAGGTCGACGAAATTGAGCATTTTCGACAGCCTCTTTTTATACCTCTAATCAAAGCTAAAACCGCATGGACCCAGCTGCTAAGTATATGGCTGAAAGGCTATGTCTCTTAGAAATGCTATAATACTTTAAGTGATTCGAAGATTTCAGTTTCGACCTCACAGACAAGCATCGAACCTAATGCCCTATTCTGTCCAACTGAGAGCTTACGGAATTACCTTATTAACTGAGAATCATGCCAAAGATTGAGGGATCGTTAGAGGTCAGAATGCTTCCTTATCATTATCAACCACCACCCTCAGTTGATGTTAGACGTTCGAAAATAAGTGGGTAGGTTCTGCAGGCAGTCCCTCCCCAAGAGGGCCCCACGCGATGCTCTTTTACAAGGTCCGAATTCCCACCTCTTGATCGCTTGAACCAACTTCAAGCTGTCATAAGACGCATCTTTCTTTGGTCATATATACCACAAGGTTTGAGCTTCTTCTGTAGATTGAGAGCCGAGATAAAATTCAAAAAGTAGTTGTCGAAAACTCACTTTTGGGTCGACCCGAATTTCCCTTTCAATGAAATAAAAATCGGCACAAGTCGAGAAAGTAAGGAAGCAATTTTCTATTTTATAGCGCCAAAAATTATCCATCAAACAATGTAGAGCATAATGGGAACAATTTCCATCTTCCATATTGTCATTTTCCATATGAAAATCTGTGTGACAAAAAACGCCATTACTTATGGGCCAACCTAATGTATTAGAATCGGTCACGCCAGGAGCTGCTTGAGTTCTTGATCGAGTTTGCACTGCATTTATCGCCCCTTATTGCTTCCTGTCATAATTCACTGACCTTTATGGAATTTATGGAGCGAGGAAACTGGATGGGGTGAACCTCCGGTTCCGCCCAGGCCAATCAAGCTTATTATGCCCTACGGAGATGGTGAATCGGAAGCAGATCCGTCTGACAAGGACAAGGGAGGTCGTTCAGGGCGTGGTGAGCTTTTTCAAAATGGTCTTGTGCATATTGTAGGGGCACATACGAGGACCAGAAAACTGAGGTTCATTTTCGCTGCGCGCTTTACGAATAAAACAAAAAGCCGTGAAAAAGGTTTCTATGGTTCGGATCCACTGAGAACAAAACTTTGCTTTTCTACAGTTTTTCATTTTTTGGATTCATGTTTGTCTAAATACTTGATCCAAACGAAAACATTTCCATTTTCACGATAAACTGAACAATCCTACTTTTATGGAGCAAAACTGCTTTTTCGTTCGAATTCGTTAGTATGCACAGACTCAGCTCTTCGGCGCTATGCCGGTGCCAGATGGCACTGGAACCGAAAATAAAGTCTAGAATCGTGATCAGA